AATTGATAAAGCAAAATATACAAACATAAAAAAAAAACATTTTATTTTTTAGTCCAATAAACATAAAACGCAAAAAAAAAAAAATATAAACATAAACAAAATCGATCCATTGTATCATATGCACTTTTTGAATTAGGAAAAGGGAATTATTATTTTTAGACGTCTTAAAAAATGCATATTTGAGAAATTAATTGGTATTCAGTAGCATTTAATAGAAATAAACAAAAAAGTAATTGACTCGAAACAGGGTTTCAATTCTACCAAACAACATTCGCTCCATACAGTTTGTAAAAATAACTTGCAATTCTAATTTTTAAAATGATCAAATGACACAATTTTACCCAACTTTTTCCTTATCTCTTGCGCATTTCTTTATTTCACCAGTGAAATTAGGAAAACATCTTTGTCATGAAAGGGAACAAATCAAAACTTTGTAAAACTCTAATAATAATAATGACACATAATACATAATATATAATGTCCATCTAATTATATTTATTATATATTGATCTCGAACTAATTTAATAATTGTGTTTATTTGTTTGTTTTCTAGCCCCTTCCCTTCTTTCTCACGCCTTCATATATTTCCTTTTCCTTTTTATTTTTATTTTTTAATTAAATTACAATAAAATTAATAAAATTGAATTTTTAAATTAAATTAAATTGCAATAAATTTGAATTTTTATTTAATGTATGACAAGAATGGCAAGACATGACAACAACATTCACCATCGTGAATATGAAAATCATTTTATTCTTTTTAATCCTGAATAAGATTATTGCGAGGAAAAAAAAACATTGTCTCCGGAGCAACATAAAAATCATACTAATACTAAAATACACAATAATTCGTTATTGTTATATCACAACGTAATCCATAATATTAAAAATATTAATATTAATATTGTAATTGTAATATCACACATGATCTTATAATATCACTTCATATCACATCATAATTCATAATTTTCCGGGATTGTTTATTTTGAACACATAATAACAATATTTGTAATAATAAAAAGAATTAAATTGAATGGTTGTTTTTCATGCATAGATTTCTGCCATTTTAAAAAATACATGGCCATTTGGATCATGGTAACTGTCATCCACTACCAATGGAAATAGGATTTTACAAATTTAGAAAAAATTTATTAACTTGTTTATATTATTGTTATTATTTGTGAATCCAAAGAAACCTAACTCGGTGCTTGGTTTGTTTATTGTTATTGATATTAATTATGATGAAATTTTTCCGAAAAAAAATGGGGAATCTTTAGTTTATTCATTTATTTTTGCTTTTACTTTATAAACGTTCATCCTTAATAATAATTGTTATAATTATCATCACCAATCTTCTTTGCATTTTTTTTTCTAATATTTCTTGACAAATATTATTTTTTGTGAAACACAATTATAAAAAATTTTATTTCTTAATATATTAAATACAATACTTATAAAATAATAATAAATTACATAAATTACACAATTATTATTTATGTTAAATAATGTATAATTGCCCAAATGCAAAATAAAGTAAAAATCCCTCCACCTATAAACACCCATTTATCTTGAGACATTCTACGCTCAATATACTGAATCACATTACGAGACAATCCGAGTGTATTTGCTGCGTCAAGCATTTTTCTTTGTGCGTTCTATTAATCAATCAATCAACCAACCAACCAACCAACCAACCAACCAGTCAATATGTGTATTATAATATATATAAAGTCTTTATATTTATTCCTACCTTTAATATATTATTTTGATCGTAAATATTATGAAGCACTTCTCTTCCATGTGCTATATATTCATCGAGTTTTGTTTCTGTATCATTTATAAATTCGTGTTCTCTTAAAGCATGTTGTTCCCTCGTCATATTATTGTTAACATGATTATTGATATTATTTTGGTATGGATGTTCCGGCTAAAATATTTGTCATTATTTATTATTACTCACTTTTAATGTATATATATATATATTATAACCAATCAAAACAAATATAGATTACCGTATTTGTGTTATGTCTTCTTCCTAATAATTCTGATCTGTTATTTTCTGTAATCTATAAATATATAAAAGATTTATAAATATACAAGTATTAGATAATGATAATAAAATAGATAAATATTTATCGTCCATCATTCGTCATTATTCATCATCACCATTATCGTTTCTTATACCTTATTGGCTTCTCGTTGCTTCAGTCGTTCAAATTGAAAATTCATTTCACTATAATCTTCTCTTAATTTACTTATATTTCTAAAGTATATATAATATATTATTATTGTTGTTGTTATTATTATTTGTATTTATATTTGTATTCGTTATATGTATATATAATATCACACACACGCATATATATTTTTAATAATTCATACGCGAATGCTTTGTTTTGTTTCACCAAAATCACTTCTCTTTTAGCTTGTACATCATAATCTTCAATTGTACGTTTTAATGCTGTAAGGCTTGCTGAAATTTGTCCTGTTTCAATAATAAAAAATAACAATTAACAACGATTTATTTAAATGATTTATTTATTTATTTATTTAACGATTTATTATTATTCCACAAATATTAGTAAATATTAATAAATAATAGGCTATTATTATCACCGATTTATGTTAAAATTACCTTGTAAACCAACTGACACATCTCCACTCTCAAATTTCTCAAGTTCCTGTCGTATACCTTGTTCTTGTTTCAATGCATGTTTATACAAATTATTCATTTTTGTTTTATAAGAAAAGGTGAGTATTGATTTTACAATTATACAAGTGTATATATATATATATATAAATAAAATTTTTTGAATATTCGAGTTTAAAGTTTGAAAAAGAAAATTTTCTTATTTATACTATAAAATCAGTGTATGAAATTCAGTGTGCGAAATGTTAGTTTAACCAAATTTGGTAATTATTTGAGAAAATCCGACGATAATTGTCAAATTTGGTCAGAGAATCGAGAATCACATTCCGCACATTGAATTTTGTACACTGTAATCTAATGGATATTACATAACGTATTACAAAATTTTTTTTTTTTCGTAAAATTATGATAATAAATAATTATTTATTATTGATCGATGATGATAATGATGGATAAAACTCAAGAACAACATAATAAAACGCGCCGTCGTATTATAATATCGTTTTGGATAGTTATATTAATAGGTCTTCCGTTTTGGTGGAAGACTACTGAAGTTTATCGTGCTCAATTACCCTTTACTGAAATAGAAGAATGGTCAAAATGGGAGGTTTGTATATATTTTTATTTTTAAAAATATTATTTTATCAAATTATTTAATTATTTTTTTTATATTATCAGAAATTTGAGCTTGAATTTCCAATTGATATAAGACTTTATGTTGCTCAAACTAAAGGAAAGAAGGAGGGGACGGAGGATTATTTTAAAGACCTGGCAAATATTGTTGAAAATTCTATCAACAACAAGTCTATTAATTTTACAAAATATCATAACAAGAACATTAAAAAATCAATAAAATATCCTATTAAAATTCAAATATTGAAATGGGAACATTGGGGAAGTCAAAGTATGATTATTATTAAATAATATAATGAAATGGCAACTGCGAGGACAAAAATTATTTATTATTTATTTGTGCTAAAAATTTTTTTTAATGTGTGTAGATCCAAATACTATTTTAGATTTAATTGGTAAAAATGGACAATATGATTTTTATATTATGCCTGGTGATAATAATTTATCATCATCAAAAGTTTTAGTAGGAAATCAAAGACAAGCAATTGTTGAGATAAGTCAATGGAATATTGGTGAATTATATTAATTAATATATATATATATATATATACACACACACACATACACATATATATTAATAATTTTTGAACTAATCTATTTATTTTATTTATTTATATTTTAAGATGCCATTGACAAAACAATCTCTGATCTTATAATAAATTTATTTCAGCCTGAGCAGACTGCCATAAAAAAACTTTTAATGGAACAAGAAGTAGTTGCAAAGGTTTGTCAATTATATATTTACCATATATATAAAATTAAAATTTACATATATAATTTAACAAATAGGTAGAGTTTGATAATATGAGAACAATGAAATATTCACCATTGTATCAAGTAACATTTAGTTTATTGAATGGAAATCCATCAACTCTGCATGTAGATTGGGATATTGAACAAGCAGTTAATAAATTTTTGAAACCATTTATTAATAAAGTATCGGTTGTCTCGAATTTAACTATTGATTCACAAATTCAACATTATGCGAGATTAACTTTTCAACCATCATCATCATCATCATTATCATCATCATCATCATATGAAAAAGAAATTTCTTTCTTCTCTTTGACTCCTGATCTATTACCGCATTTCGTTAATGCTGCTGAATGGAACTTGGGTATTTTATAATTGTTTATAGTAAATTTTTTTTTGGCATTATTATTAATACAATATTTTTATATTGGGGGAAAAAATAGCATCGGCTGTGTCATCTTATCCTACATTAAACTTTATATTATATATCCCTTCTCATGATCAAAGTCCACTTTATATTCTAGATTCAAAAGGTATATATATACATCATAATTATATTACATTCATATTATTACAATCTTGTTTATGTTTATTACCTTTTTTGTAGAGAATATTGTAAGGAATAATGCATTTCTTATTCCTAGATGGGGAGGAGTGATAATCAATAACATTGATGATAGGTCAATTGGAAATAATAATAATCATTTTTTCACTTTTGAAGAATTAAAATCTGTAATGTCTATATTTATAATGCAATTAAGAGGTTTACTTGGTGTACAAGATTTTTGGGGAAAAGCAAGACTTAATTTAGTAGAGTATTTGTATAATTATATATTGTAATATATACTTAATTAATTTATTGATTTATATATATATATCATATTTTTTCTTATGTTTAGGATTCATTAATAAATATAGAATTTACATCACCACCAAACACAGCAATCACAATGTGGGAACTTGATAGTTTGATAAGACGTCGTATAGCAGAGAATATTGATGCAACCATTTCAACATTAAAATCATTGTCACAATTAGTCACAGAAATTCCAAATATGGTTGTACTGGATCATATCCAAACTGAAGTTTTGTTAGCATTAAATAGTTTATCAAAGGTAAACAACGAAATTTTTTTTTGTTTTTGTTACTAATTTTTCTCTAATACTTATGTGCACACTTGAATTTAGTCATGTGACAGTTTAAAAATGAAACGATATGATGTAGCATTAAAACATGCAAAAGAGGCGATAGAAAGAGCAGAATCAGCATTTTTTGATCCAACAATGGTTTCCATGCTTTATTTTCCTGATGAACATAAATATGCAATTTACATGCCATTATTTGTACCTATATCTGTACCATTATTGATTGCTTCTTATCGAGAAATAAAAGGATTATATCCTTTTTATTAACCCTAATATAAGAACGATTCATAGTTTTTTTATGCAATCTAAGTAACATCTCTTTCCTTATTTATTTCTCTGGCCAAGGTCTTCTTTTAAGCATATCACTATTTATTTAACAAATAAAACATTTTTTCTGATATTTTGCTTGCATGACAACTTTCTAATTAAAAAAGTTTAGATCATTTTATCACTTTCTATGTAATAAATCATCACTACTTTACAAAACCCCAAATCAAAAAATCTCCATATACCAATATAAAAAAAAATAAAATCACAATACTTGAGTGAATTTTTTTGTGCATTATTGATTGGACTATTATTTCTTTGGCTTTTACTTTATCAGTGGAACATAAAATGTGAGAAAGTAAAAACCTGTAGTTTATTAGATTATTAATAAAAGCTCAAGTAATAATTAATTTACATAGACTAATTAAACTTTGTATTTATTTATTCCTTAGTCAAGTAGAAGCAATAGTAGACACAATTAACGAGACTTTTATCAATTCTCCTAATCCCATCACTTGGCGTATATTATTAATAATTTTTATATCATTTCATTTTTATTTATTTGATGTGCAGAAATCAACTCACCTTTAACATTTTAGGTCTTAAAGCAAATTAGAGGAACAATTTAGAGCTAATAATATATTTATATGCTTGCTTTTGAACCAATGAATTTTATTTATTTTTGGCGATCACTTTGAATATAACAAGAAGAGAGAGTCGGATTTATACACAACTTTGTCAAATAATTTTAAAGATAAGCTTGTCCTCCGTAATCAAATATCAAAATGTTGCAACAAAACCGTAACGTTGCAACATACCCGCAACTTTACATATCACATAAAAATTATACATAGTGTTGCAACATAATCATGATGCGGTTAGACAAATTTTCTATTTACATTGTCTCACTTTTAAAAACATATTATTATAAAACATTTGATATGGTTGAGCATCTTTAAAAAATGACAAACACAGCTTCTATGCGGAAGAGTATCAATACCATCAATATGATGATGATGACAATGGTGGTGTTGTTGATGATAATTTTACATGCGAACTAATAAACATTTCCGATACAAGGTCCAATAGTTCATTGACTTCAAGTTCCATTGATTTAATCAGTGGTTCCAGAAGACCTTTAAAAAAACAAATCGTAATGCATGATTTTGTGTGGAAGTATTTTGAAAAAATGAAAAATTCAAATGGAAATGAATTCGTAATTTGTAAATTTAGTCGACTAAAATAGTTGACTAAAAAATAGTCGACCAAATAATCAACTAATAGTCGACTAAAGAAATTTTGACCAGCTAATAGCTGACTAAGGATTTTTTTGGACGATTCTAACCTCTATAACCATCTTGGTAATGGACATCACCAAGTTACGTGTGAAATTTTCCATGAATTTTTTTATACCATAAAAATCGTTTTTATTTGTAATTGGTCAGACAATAATTATCAATATTAATATTAGCATAGTATTAATATTAGCATTCGTATTAGTAGTCGACTAAGATAGTCGACTATTGTTCAAAAAAAAGGTTAATTGACTATATTTGTCGATTCCAACCTCTAGATGGTTACCACATGTAAATATTCCCAGATATCACTATATTTTGGACCAAGTTTGTTTTTGTTATCAGTAACAAAATTCATCTTTAATTATTATTATAAGAAAATATGAAAAAGAAATGGGTTTAAATGCACAGAAAAGTAAGGATCGTGATATACCTTTTATTTGAATGCAATATTACATACAAATATTACAACATCGTAACACCGTAATACCGTAATTTTACATTACAGATGCCAACTTTATTTAAAGAAGAGTTTAAAATAACCTGTAAAATTAATAAGCCTGATCTCGATATATCAATAGACGAAGAAATTATACCAAATGTTAAATAAAGTATATATCAACAATTTCAAGTATGGTGCAGGTCATCTAAAAACATAAAAAAATTTGTGCAGCTCCAAATCACTAAGGCTTTTTTTTTATTAATAAATTGAAAAAAAATTCTCTATTTTTGCAATAAGCAACAATGAAAGAGTTTTTTCCAATTTTATTAATAAAAAAACCTTTCCTATTTAGTAAAAGATCATCCAAACACGTGATCAGAACAAAATTACATTATTTACATTCTTCCAATTAAAAAAAACGACAAATTAAGTAAACTGCATATTTGGGAAAAAAAATCAGATAACGAATTGAATAAAATTTCAAGAATATGCATAAAGAAATTGATTATATAAATTATTTGAATTATTCGGTTTGTTAGTTTATTTGAATTTATTTATTCATTTTACTCAAATTATTTGTTTTTATTCATTTGGGGTCTGTACTAGGAAAATCAAGCTTCCAGCTATTTTTTTTTTGTCTTTTTACTCAACAATAATCTCTAATAAAGGATTTATAGTTGGTGAAAAAATTGGACCCTGTTTGCATAGTAGAAAAATGAGATACAAGGCTTGAAATATTTTCTTTATATATTAAAACCATATGTACCAAATTTATAAGGGTTGTTGTTACTAAAAATAGATTTTTTGTCTGGAAGCTTGATTTCCTAGTACAAACCCCATTTATTCAATGATTGGTTTTATTCGTTTATTCGAATTATATTTGCTTTATTCATTCATTTATTTTATTTGAATTATTCGTTTTATTTGTTTATTCATTTTATATATTTGTTTTATTCATTTATTCTTGAATAAACTTTCATGTAATTTGAATACTCTAATGAATACGATAAATGATTGAGTCATGTGATTTTATAATCCCGTGACACCAAAGAATACCATTGCTATTTTTGGATTTGAAGATTTGGGCAAAGCATTTGATGTCTTTAGATGGCGCGCACTATATAAACAATGGTGAAGATTTTCTAAACAAATATGGCTAAAGAATTTGGCTGCGACAAATCGTTATTATCATTAACATTGATAATATGTACTTTAGTCTCGAATATCTCGCCATTATTCTTTGCTTTATAATCTTATTCTTTTAAATATCAATATGTTGTCGAACAGTAAGTGTCATATCTGATATATTTAAATTGTAATTTACACATGATTTAATATTAATGGGTCACAAGAAAAGGACAGGGGACAGGCATCAGCCGCAATCTCCTGTGCTCTGTCCTTTTCTAGTCTCCCGTTGTAGACCACACACATCTAATAAGCAAAGAATAACGATAAAAATGTGATAAAACTCGTTTGGCATTAATTCCTGACTCGACATTGATCAAAAAACTTATAGATTGTCACACAAAAACAAATCAAATTAGGATTTTATTACATGACCAATTACATATATCCATTTATAAAGAATTATCACAAGAAGAGAAAGGCAATGATATTGACAAATTACAATCTTTTGGCATGAGAACTTCAGCTAACCAAACGAAAGGTTATCCTAATTCCTTAAAGCTATTAAAATAGTTATTTATCATTGTATAATTTTAGGCTTTAAAGTCAGAGCCTATCCAATGTATTTAAAATCCTAGAACTTTATTTCATGATATCATGTCTTTTGAATTTCCAGTGACAATTCAAGATAAAGGAAGCGTAGCTAGTTTAGTTGGTTCACTATTGTTATTAATTCGATTAAAAGTAAGTATATACATTTTTGTTGTTATTTGTGTAAAAATATTATATATAGTAACATTTAATAAAAAATAAAATAACGATGAATTAGAAGGTTTTTACATATATGGATGAATGTATATATAATATAATGTCAATTTTTTTTTAAAAAAAAACGAGGACTATTTCCTTTTGTAAATTAGTGTGCGTTTTATAGATCGATCTATCGGTTGTTTGACTTCTTTTTATCTTTGAATCAGTAGGAAAGAGTAATGATGATGATGATAATCATTTAAGTTGATTGCCTACGTTGCCTAGGAATTACTTCTTGTGGCCAATTATCTCTAAATAAGAAATCGTCAGTTATTTTTTTGGTAGAAAATGGTGAACTTGGACGATTAGAAGATGTTGTGATGGTGTTGGTGCTGGTGATATATAAATGTCCGTTATAACTGTTATTGGTGTTGTTGGTATTATTGATGTTATTAGTATTATTGTTGTTGTTGTTTAATTCGACTGGTAACAATTTTGGGCTTGATAGACCAGTGTAAGAAAGATGATCATTGTTAGAAGATGGAGTAGTTGATAACGAGAACATAACTTTTTTGTATAGGTTACGATCGTATGATAAATGACGTGTGTTGTGACTACGACGAGTATTTAGTAATGATGACGATAAATCCGGGGACATAAAGTCAGAAATATCTGCAGGCGATGATGAATCTAGTGAAAGTGAAAAATGAAGTTGGAAAATTTAATTTTTATTATTTTTTTGTAAAAAAAAAAAACAAAAAAATCTTGTGATTAATAATTAGTTACCATTAGTTTCAATTGGTGTTAATAGTGGGCTTGATAAACCTGTATAAGAATTAAGAGTAGGAGTAGCATCATCAAGTGATGGCGAAGAAGTAGCTATAGTATTATTGTATGCTCGCATATACATTTGTCTTTTAAATAAATCATGATCGTATGAGAAACTGCGTACAGGACGTTGATGTTGAAGTTTTGGCGGTTTATGCTGTGGAGTTGTAACAGTATTGATAGTTTTTGGGATAGTAGTTGTTTGAATTGAAGTAATTGAATTCATATTATATTTATTGTTTTCAAAAAATTAAAAAATTATGTAAAATATTTCGGATATTTTTCAATTTTATTTTTTAATATTTATATTAAAATTTTAAAAATCATAAATGGAAAATGGAATGACAAATGAAAATCATTAATGTGGTAAAAATAATCAGATCAGGCGTAATATAATCACGCCATTATTTTATGAATATATTTGTGAAATTGTATACAGAACCCAAGGATTATAGAACTTTCTAATCTTGATGCAGTAAAAGATCTTGACCTACAAACAAATTTAATTGTTTAATAACCTTCATACAAGATAATTGTAGTAAGGTATAAATAAACAAGGGTCAAATTTTTCTCTGGGGGGTTTTTTTTTATTTTGCTGATAATATCATTTTCAAAATACAAATTAAATAATAAATAATTTTTATTTACACTTTGAATTTTGCGAACTAGCCTCAAATCATTGTCGGTATTAAGATATATTGTAAAATCAGCAAGTTTCTTAATATCCTCGAATTGTAAGGCACCTCCTTCGAGAATAATGATTTTTGGATATACAATAGCATTATCTTTTCTTATTATTTGGAAAGAGCCATCTTTGTTTCTTTTCAAGCTAGTATGAGAGCTCAAACATTATTTCCACTTGGAATAGTTTTCGATTGTTGAAACCAACATGAATTTAAATCAATATAAATCTTTTTATTTTTTTCATGAAAAAATGCATTACTATCTATTATACCAAGATAAAATCGTTATATTTTAAGAACTATTATCACCTTTTGATCAATTAATGAAGGAGATCTTAGCAAACAATAATTATCTTAGCATATTATTATGCGCTGATTTTGTTTGAACCCCAAAATTCAGTTCATAACATTATGAATACTTTATACTATATAGCAAAAACCCATTGGTTTGACACAATAAGATATAAGGTTTGAAAAAAACCAAATCGGCTGATATGCCAAAACAATAAACCATTACTTTTTCGATATTAATTTGTTTGATAAATAAGGACAAAACTATTACTTTTTTGATGTAGCTCACATCAATCAATTTCTAAAACTTGTTATTTATTCTATTTTAGTGTGTCAAAAACACAATATTGTGTTTTAATTGTATAGAAGTTAGTAAATCAGTTTCGACTAAATAAAACAAAATTATTTTCTAATAAACTAATTTATATTGTTATAATAACTGGTGACACAGATCGCTCATATATTCTTTATTTTTATTTTCCAATGCACAGTTATTTACCTAACAGCATACGAAAAGTTGAGATGTTCAACTACATTGGCGTGTATATATACCTGACTCGCTTTTCCCTAGGCGTTAGCTTAGTAACTACTTCTCGAGATTTTTCGGGAGTTTTGGCACTGCTTTCAAAATACTTTGATTATAGTGAGTGACATGACAATGTAAATAATGTTCTTGTTTTGGCAACGGTTGATCATCGAAATTAATAATTAAATATGCGGATTTTTTATGAAAATTTTGCAACACCTAAAAAATTTCATAATAATAATAAATTTTTCACGACTAAGAATAATTTGAATCATAATATAAAAGTCATTTCGTGAAATAATAAATCTTTTCATTACAAAAGCATTTAATATATTTTTTAGTAATATTTTTTATTTAATAACATTTTTCCATTTCCTTAAAAGGGAAGGATTGTCAAAGCAAATGTTAATAGAAAGTTGATAACCTTGAGCCTTTACAAAAAGTTTTTTTTACTAATATAAATAAAAAAACTCTCTGACAGGCTCTTAATTGAGCATCTGCAAATAAAATCGCGGAAGTATTATTCCAACAGCTTGCTTGGTTACCGAGCCTTTACGTTTTAAAGTTTAAATAAATTTCCATTGTTTATATATAGTAAAATCAATAAAATTGATAACTTTGAACCTTTACAAAAAATTTTTTTACTAATATAAATGAAAAAAACTCTCTGACAGGCCCTTAATTGAGTATTTGCAAATACAATCGCGGATGAATTATTCCAAGAGCTTGCTTGGCTATCGAGCCTTTACGTTTTGAAGTTTAAATAAACCTTCGATTATATTTTGATGATACAGTCAACCCTCCATAAGTGCACCCTATGTCTCATTCCCAACCTCGGGACTTAAGAGATAAATGCATCCCTCCATAAATTCACTGCACGGTCTCGTTCATATAAAACCACCCTTTAAATGCACGCCCGTGACTTTCACGTGATATAAGTGCAACAAGAAAAAAATTTATCGTGTTACATTAATTAATTATTTTGCCTTTTGTAATTAATTTATTTATAAAGAATTAAATGAATGTTTACTAATTATTTATTTTAATCACAAAGAGTTATTATGCAGATAGTGAAACCTATAGGCAAAATCATTAAGAATCACACAGAGGATAAAGAGTTAGTTCTATGCTTTTTTTTTAATAAAGAGTCAATTAAATTATTGTTAATCATAAAGAGTTAAATGAATGTGTACTAATTCTTTCTTTCTTATTTGACAAAGGGTTATCAGATAATGAAACTTATAGGCAAAATTGTTAAGAATTAAACAGAGGATAAAGATTTTTTTTAATAAAGAATTAAATGAATGTGTACTAATTCTTTCTTTTTTAATTGACAAAGAGATGTGAAACTTTTATAGGCGAAATTATTGTATATAAGAAGGCAAGACAAGATTTACACTTATCATTAGCTTTAATAAATAAAAATCTTCTACCATTATTTATTATTTATTATTTAAACATTTAATTGCAAATAACTATTATTACACAGACCCATTTTAATACTGCTTACTTCTACCCACTTAAAATTTTTCTCTTTCTTCACACTTTCAAAATGCCACCAAAAAAGTAAAATAACTTTATCTGATTCCCAAAAATATGAAATTTGCTTATATGCTCAAAACAATACAAAGACCAGAAAAGAATATGTCAATTGGATTGAACAAAAATGGAATGTTAGGGTGAATGAATCAACTATAACAAGAATTCTGCAAAAAAGCCCTTAAGGAGTTTATTTTAATCTATCAAGACAAAGCTATTTTAAGCAGAGCTATGTTAATTGAGAAAGCCAAGCAATTGACAGATGGCTTGGAAGTTCCAGATGGAACATTGGAATTTTCAGCTGGATGGCTTCAAAAATTTAAAAGATGTAATGGAATCCATCAACAAAAGCTTCATGGAGAAGCATCATCAGTTGATCTGGAAGCCATAAATGATGCCTTACCATTATTAAAAAGCATATGTGAAAATTATCCACTTGAAAGAATATACAATATGAATGAAACAGGTCTTTTTTACAGATTAGAGCCAGATAGAACATTAGCCACACACAGAATTTTTGGTTGCAAAAAAGAATAAAGAAAGACTTAGTATTGCTTCATGTGCAAATGCTGATGGATCTCATAAATTAGATCCTTTAATAATTGGAAAATCTGCAAAACCATGATGTTTTACTAATGTCAACCTTGATAGCTTAGCAATGACATATCATAATAATACAAAGGCTTGGATGTTGGTAACTGTTTTTCAAGATTGGCTCTAAGGATTCAATAGAGAGGTTGCTCAAAAATATGGAGATCAACAGGTATTATTGCTTCTTGACAATTGCCCATGTTATAAGACAAATGGTTTGGTCCTTTCAAATGTTGATGTTCATTTTCTCCCTCCAAATACCACTTCAAAGATCCAACTGATGGATGCTGGGATTATTATGTCATTCAAAAAACATTATCATGACTTGCACATTAAATGAATCCTGGATCAAGTTCAAGGAGGAAAAGATATAAAGGATTTAAAAATGGATGTATTGCAGGCAATATGTTATATTATTAAGAGTTGGGAAGAAATAACACCTGAAACCATTCATAACTGTTGGAAACATACTAAAATTCTTCCAGATACCATTAATGCCGAATTAACTAACCTTAACAACATTAGATGAGCTTACTCAGGTGCTTAACAACTCTTAACTTATCTGATAGAATGCCAATTGAAGAGTTTTTAAATAATCCCGAAGAAGAAAAAATATATGAAGTTCTTGATGATGATAAACTTATTGAAGGATTTGTTGAAGTATATAAAAAACAACCAGAAGTACCCATTGACAATAATGAAGATGATGATAGCATTGAACCAGTAATAATAAGTGCTAATGAAGCTTCCAAAAGTTTGGAAATTGTCTGCCTTTTTACTACAACAAGGAAATACTAAAGAACAGTCAAAACAAGTTAATGCTCTTGATTGGTATACTAATTTAAAAAAATAAATTCAATGAAACGAACTACAATGGATCAATGTTTATAATTTTTTTAACAATATCCCTCATGTCACGTGCAGCCAATAAGATCCTTACCCTCCCTGCATCCTTCCATAAATGCACGGTCTCGTCTATTCCCAAGGGGGGTGCACTTATGGAGGGTTGACTGTATATATGTGTAATGATCCGTTATAATAATAACGAGAGGTATTGTAATCGATGATACTTTAAAAAACTTTCTTTCCAATAGTATTAATGATAATAAAATTGTACAACATAATTATAAAAAGCCAAATGGACATGTATGGCGTTATTGTTGTTGGAAGTTCATTATCTTGCTCAATAAATTTATGAGCAGTTTCAAAATGTAGTAACAGCATCTTTAATTGAAATGTTGGAACGTTTTCTTCGATTTCTTCCTCAGCTGGAGTAAGTGATAACAGAATTTAATACTATGTTAAGGATCCTCTCAATTAGCCAATAAGATTCTGGGTAAATTCAAAAATTTAAGGTAACCTATATCTAGAGTCCTATAATAATTTATTATCCTTTATAATATAAAATGCATTACATAACATCGTGAATATTGTTAATTAGTAGAATACGATATAGTCTGTCATATACAAAAAGAGGATTAAACAACAAAGATAAATTATTTTTTATTTTGATTCAACTAATACATAATTTTGATGACTAAATAGTTTACTTTATTTTAATTTCACTGGCTCTGTTGCATCATTGATTTTTTGGTTTATATTATAAAGCTGTTTCTTGTTTTATAACGAAACAAAGAAAAGACCAGACAACGATCCATAAAAAATTTTGTTTGTGAAAGCAAGCATCTTGTTAAATTATTATTGTAAAGATATTTGCAACTTGATTTTTTTTATGCGAAAAGGAATGAATTGGTGATAAACTCTTGCTCAAACTCAGAATTTGTTTACATTGCTTCTAATGCAAATAAAGTATGGAAGTAAGATTTATTTGTTTCAAACAAAAAAATACTAGAAACTTGAATGTGTAATATTTATGAAGTCTATTCAAGGATATGTGTAAATAATCAATTAATACCATATGGATATAATTAAAAAAAATCAAAATAAGGGAGACCATGAAAGCTTTATTAAGCAATTAAAAGAGATAATAAATACCGGCAATTTACTTGGGTGGAATCACTAGTCTGAAAAAATAACCAATATATTTTAAACGAGAACAAGGAAAATAATATTGAAAATGGAAATATTATTAAAATCAAGTTAAGAGAATTAGAAAAACAAAAAAACTGAAAACAATTAAACAATCAAGAGAAAAAAGCAAAATGAAAGTTAAAGCTCAGGAAATCCAAATTCAACATGTCGACTTAAGCCTGAATAACTAAAGTGAAATATTTATATTTTTGGATTGATCACTAATCACATTATTAGGGCCACTGTAACTGGATACTGGAATTTATCTTAATGTTTACTTCCTCATATATACATGCAAAGGTTTTTTATTTTATTTCGATATATTTGTTAATAATATTTATAAATAGATATAATATTGCGCAATAATATTATAATAGCCCAACAAAGAATTAATCAACTCCTTATTTTTTCTTATTTCAAATGAAGTTCAATGCCAATTTTTTTTTCATAATTAGCTTCCCATTTAGCAACTCTCCAATCTTCTTCATCTCTAATAGCAATCATTTCACCGACACCATTCTTGTATGAGATTTGATCATAATTAGGCTTTATTTCAAATCTATCTTCTATATTTTGCAATAAAGAATTGAGTGTAATGTCTTGTGGAACAATTACAAAACCATGTTCTACAAATGCTATCCAAGTGACTAAGATCTAAACATATATATTTACAAGTATTATTATTATTATTATTATTTGGAGATGTTTAATAAAAATGCAAAAAAACATTTTATTCATTTCAAAAAATTAAAAATTATATATACCTTATTGTTGTTATTATTAGTTTTATCTGATTTCAATTTTTGTTGTGTAAAATATTTAAAGAATGCAGATTCTATCTTTGTCAATGAACTGATATGAGTGGCAGATGTTGGTATGAACAACAATGAAGTTGCACCATCCATTAAACCATTGGTTGGATCTGCTTTAATCTCAACACTATTGTGAAAACACTGGTGTAAGTAAAGTTGATGTTGTTGAAATAAAAGTAATGTCAATGATGAAGGTGAATGTGAATGTGTTGATAACAGTGAAAATTGTGATAATGATAATAAAAATATATAGAACATATTAATACATTATATAGAAATAATATTTTAATGAATTAATGGATGGAATACATACTGTTCTTTTGAAATTATGAAGAAGTTGAAATTCCATTTCTTTAAATTCTGCCATTCTGAATCCAATGATCTCAAAAAAAAAAAAAATTAGATTTAATTATTTGTTGAATTTCCACAAACGTCATCCATTACCTCGTCCAATTGAATAGATATTTTATTTTGCATGTCATTCAATAATATACAAAAATCACGATTTCTAAATATTAATGCAAGTTTTATATCTGTATATCTACCAAGATGTCCACCATTAGGTCTAATTTCTATTCTTCTCAAATTTATTGTAACGTCATTATTGATTGTCTTTAAATTATTTGTAATGGATGAATTCAATGTTCTAATTGCTGCTGATGATAAAGTTGGTTGTGATGATGGAGCAATTCCTTCTAAATTTAATTATTATACTATACGTTTAGTAAATTATTATTATTATTATTACTATCATCATCGTTACTCTTGCCGTGATATCTCTTCTGCTCAAAAAAATATTACTAACCTGATTTTACACCCCTTCCATTTTTTTTAATTTCATCCATTTTCAGAAAAATATAATTACAGATCACAGTTATACATATCTTTTTTATGTCCCTTTTTGTTTTTAGATTTTTCGTGGGATATAACCGAGGTGGGATATATAATTGAGGAAATCAAGATTTTCAGTTCCTAGAGATATGCCGTGCCCATAACTGCCTAGATTCTTCCTACACTAGTGATCTCCCTTTTGGGTGAGTGTTTAAAATCAAATTGCTTTTTGCAAAAAACTATAAAAAGAATCAATCGAGAGAAGTTAAAAAAATTGCAAATGTATATTTACTACAATATGAGATCAGATTCTAAAGAACATTGGTTTGGGGAATTGAACCCGACGTTCCACATTGATGTAAATTCCACACCCCGGTTAAATGAATTAGTGAATTGCATTCACACACATCATTTAAAGTAAAAAAATTGCACTAATAAGATTTGGAATATATTAACAAAGTCATGTAAATGTAAATATTGCAATTATAAACTAGTCCAAGGTGTGAAAGTCATTGGAGAAATGTCATCTTCAGTCGTTTTGGTATCAATTCTCAATAAGTACAATATAGTCTTTATCAAATAATAATAACTCATCATCATTGACTTGAAGAAAATATTTTGAAAATGCATTGCGCATTCATATTTCAAATTTCCCATCTCTATGTGTGATCTTTTTTTCTTTTATTTATTACATGAAACATCCCAATATCATATTTTGTAATAAATTATTCATTAGCATGTACAAATGGAGTGGTTCAATATGGCAATGATTATCTTTTATTATGGAAACTTTTGTCTTCCTTCAATAGCTTAAATTCACGAAAGCGACCCATTAAAAATCCCTTGAATTTCACAATACCAGAATTAGAGGCTGTAAAAGAAATGATAAAACTTTTGAATACCATCAACTTTTTAAAATAAACCAAACTTGGTTTGATATTAAAAATATTTTCCCCTTCATAACATTGAGTTTTATTCAAACCTGCAGTGCCAAATCTTTTAGAACATCTGCAACATGATCCATACAATCTACACTTGTTTTTCTATAGTGTTTTTTGATCAATCCAAGGCTACCATCACATTTGAATTTGGTATGTCCCGGAATCATGAAATTTGTTCAAGACTTTCATAATAATTACAAATTACTAAATTCGAATAGCTATATTTTTTTATTTCTGTTCATTAGCATTATCTTCAATTTCTTAATCCATCAAAGACCATACTAAATCTACTATCAGGACCTTTTTCTAACAAACTTCATCTTCAAACAAGAACATAGTAATTTGTTTTCTTACATGTATTCCAAATAAATGTACTTTGCGAGGACTAAGGTAATATACTTTACTAACCTATTTATCAGAGTGTAGTAAGGTTAACGCTACAATGCTATGCCTAAAGTTCCGAATCATGATTCGAATTTTAATATTAATAACAAAATCGTGCCAGGTTCAAGCAACATCTTTTATCCGAGTTTGAAATACGTATTAGTATATTAATATGCGAGTTTTTTTTACCTGTAGAGCAACTTTTACTTAACACGCAAATCGCATTTACTTGATAGTTTTGTGTAATTCAAGGCCAAATTTTTACAAGTGTAAAAACGCTCTTTTTCAAAAACAACAAGATCAAATAATTGAGTTATTTTTGACCCGTAGAGTGGTCTTTTACGCGCAAACTGTTAGACCAGTGGTATAACACAGAAATGACTTATTTGTTCCAAATTATGTTTAATACTAGTCTTTACATCATCGATTTGTTTTGGCCTACTAATGATGAGTAACATCATATTATTGCTTAAAAGGTGTTTTTAAGAGTTACTAGTTTAGAGAAATTATTTTTTAAAGAGCTTTATCTTATAGTAATAGTAATAGGAGTCATTTTTATTTTAGAGGTGCTGTTATTAAGGAAAAAAAAACAGAACTTTAAGTTCTCCTCACTTTGATTACTTTATTATTGTTATTGTTAATCACCATAATTATCTTGGTAATTAATTATCTAGCAAAGAGCTTACTTGCATCTCGTTCCTGACGCCACGAACTCGTGACAATCGTCATCCTCGGGATTTGTGTCACTTGAATGACGATTGACGCTTGCTTGTGTCGTCAATTTTCTTGAAGTTCAATCGAATTCTGCACGCTCAAGATGAAATTTCATTTTTGATCGTCACTCGAACGGCAGTTAATACTTGACTGTGTCGTCAGTTTTCTCATTCGAAAGGCACAAATTTTATTTTTGATCGTCATTCGAATGAAAAAATACGGACATTTTCTTGAAGTTCAATCGAATTTTGCACGCTCATTAAAATATCTTGAAAAAAATGTATATTTTCTTGCAGTTTAATCGAATTCTGTATGTCATTCGAATGACTTGTTATCTGTGAATGGTCCGTCAGTTTCAAAGGGGGGGGGGGGGGGGAACAGACTTTTTGAATTACACGACATTCGAATGTTGTCTGAGAAGGCAAGAGGCAAGCATAGTATTCATAACATAATGTCCACCCGCATGATTTTTACATAATTTAGGTGCAGAAATAGTTGACTTGCCACAAACTTTACAAGGAAATGCCTTTTGGATCTCCAGTGTTCATGGTACCATTCAGATCGTCAGAATCTACCTTCACCAAATTTTCCAGAGTTATATAAATAATTGCACCAAGCATGCTAAATAGTATCGAATTTTTAAATCAGACAATAAGGGTAGGCGAAACGATTAATTTTTATTTAAACAAAAGTCCTAAAAATGGTATATCACAGAAATATAGAATCAGCATTAATTAAGGTAATTGATGTAAGCATACAACCAAGATAC